TTTCAAACAAAAGGGTTGTCTTATGAGACCCTACTATTGGTACCTAATGTTCAATATGTCGGACGGCATAAGGGCTACGATATTAGATAATAGGATGTGGTTTTACCCTGTTATATGTTTCATACTAGTTGTGATATGCGGTACTTATGCCGAGGAAATATGCAGGAAAAATAAACGGGACAGGGATGCTCATGTTGATATGGCGGTCACTGTGCAACCAGGTAAATTATATAAAATATACTTGATGTCAATATAATAATAGAGTTAAAGAAATATCCAATTTTTATATAGATTATATAATTACATAATTCATTATTTAAAATACTCATTTTATATTAAATCATCAACAGATTATTTATTAATTACAAGGATATACTTTCTATTAAAAAGATTAAGACATATTAAATATATTTATTATAATATACAGGAATTACATAAATTTGTAAAATATTGATTTCATAATAAACTGTAATATTGAACACAAGAAAATTTTTTATATTAAGTAATAATCAATAACTTTTTACATGGAACTTCTAGTTTTGTATAATATATTATATTGTATATTAATTTTATAAACAATATTTAATTTTAGTGCATATTAAAGTTTATGTAACTATTTATTGTCTATTGAATAACTAACATAAATCAGAACTTAAAAGTTTAATTAATCATTAAATTATTAGTAATTTTATTGAAAATATATATTAGTTACTAGTTAAAAAATTAATAAAAAATTAATAATGTAAAATAATTTTACACATTGTCAGCTCTCTCACTTTATAAGTACATATAATGGTAAATTAATCAAGAGAGAGAGAGAGCCATTTAAATATAATTTTACTTATAATTATTAAATTATTAGTAATTTCAATTAAAATATAACTCAGTACCATGTAATAAAATTAATAAAAAATTGATAATGTTTAATAATTTTACAAATTATGAGCTCTCTCACTTTCGGGGGGCCTGGGAGGCCAAGAAGCCAGTACCTTATTTATTGAATAAGCTGTAATGTTTATTCTAGCTACAATTTTATTTGACAAACAATTGAGTGCATTATAAATTTGATTTTGTTTTTATTGTTCAAAATTTTTTTATTAAAGTATAAATCTAATTATTTATATTCACTCTAGTTCCAACTGGTCACGCTAATGTACCAGGCACATCCAACGTGCCAACTACCTGTCCCACCAAAGAGGAACTGGAGGCTAGATTAAGGACACTACTGGACTCAACCATAGATAATATAAAGCGATTTGAATCAACAACACCTGAAAGTGTGAACATATCATACGACCTTGCTACATTGATCAATGCCCGCGAAAGTATTGAGGAG